CCCCCCCCCCCCCCCCCCTTAGAAACGTCACATAATTTTCGATATTTTATTGTGTAAGTATTTATTACACAATACTTATAATTCCACATTTCCATACTTTTATCTTAATATTTACCGGCAGATACATGTACTGTTGTACATATATTTCACAGATATTTTACAGAACTGTTGCATATATCTGCCACATATCTGTCAGTTTGGTAAGAGAAAATTCAAAATTGATAATTATGCTTATTATGTGATATCAATCACATAATTGTAATACTCGTCAATGCTCGTCGGTATTTATTAGATAATTACTGAGGCCAACGGCATTATTGGATAGATTTCAGTTTAATTAATCGCCCTAAATTAAAATCTCCACAAGCAGAGGTCAATTATAGTGTTCAAGTGCTCAAAGAGCATATTAAACTGGATAAACACGCAAATAGAACTTATGCTGTGTTCTGCACATGCGTATATCTAGGATAAAATCCCACAAGCGCAAACAAAACTATTTCTCTATAAAATTGAACTGAAAGGTGACCGTTGTTGACAGTGACCGTTTTTGGCAGTGCTTCAGGCACCCGCCAAATCACTTTATTGGATCAACAATACAATCAAGACAGACAGGAAGAAGAGAAGAACAGACAAAGTCACAGTGGAGGAAGAACAAGAAGAGTTGGTGGAGCAAGTAGTTACGAAGTGGAGTGAAGCAGCAGTTGAGGAAGTGATGGATGGTGAGGCAACAATTAACATAGCAACGATTGGTCAGGCAGCCGTGATAGATTTTGCTGCAGCTGTTTGTGTCAATGGTGGGAGCAGCCAAGGGTTCATCCTATTCACCAGGGTGAGCCAAGGCTGCGTCGTCCAAATACGGTTGTATTGCATACAAACCATTTGGAGGGTTTGTCCGTAAAGGATGTTATTCAATCAATTGTTAATGTTGTTGGTGTGGATGTTGTTAAAGCTGTGCAGTTAATGCACTATGGTCGATATAGGGTCACATTTCGTACTAATGAAGCTAAACTGGTTTTCTTATCTCAGCCTTTTAACATTAAGGATGTGGAAATCGAAGTGCAGACGATTGAGAACCCAATTGTGGAGGTGAAAGTGTTGTATGTTCCCAGTGAAGTGCCCAATAAAGTTGTTGCAGAGTTTCTTGGTCATCATGGGGAAGTGGAGACGATAACACACGAAATGACGACGGAGCATGGCTTCCCCACGATTGAAATAGGAACAAGAGTCACCAAGATGACTGACATTAAAACCGATATCCCATGAAAGTCAAGAATTGGACACTTCCCAGTGGAAATAAGACATAAAGGTCAACTCCCTCAATGTTTTCGTTGCTGTTTATTGGGCCATCTTGCAAATATGAGTGTCCGAATGATGTAGTTTGTTTTGAGTGTGGTTTGTCTGGACATACTTGTAATAAGTGTTTCAAATGTTTTCGCTGTGGCAAGTTTGGTCACGTCCGAGAGAACTGCCCTGAGTTGCAGCACCCACGCGTACCACCCGCTTCTGCAGATGGTAATTCCAATGCCTGTGTCGCTGGCATGGTGGCACCAGTAACCGTCAAATTAATGGAAACAGATCGCCGTAACCTGAATTTAGTAGCCCAAAAAGGGCAGTCCCATAGTTCCGCCCCAGTTATGTCACACCCTGAGTCTCAGGATCCCTCTACGTCACAGATCCCTTCCGAGTCCCAGGTCTCCCCTGTGTCCCAGGCCGTCCCCCGTGTCCCAGGTCTCCCCCGTGTCCCAGGATTCCACTCAGTCCCAACAGCCCAATGCATTATTAACTTGTGAGTCCCATGAACTCAATCTGTCCAGCTCCTGTGCAGTTGATTCTTTAAAGGATGACGGAAGTATGGATTTAGATGCGGAACCGTTGAAGCGGGGACCGGACGGCAGTACGTGGACAGAGGTATGGAAGATGGTGAATTCTTCGCTATCGGTAGTATCCCTGAATGTGGATGGCATGAGAGATCCTAAACGTCGTAGTTTAATGTTTGATTTTCTAAATCGTTATGAATATGATATTGCATTGTTGCAAGACACCAGGATACTCAACAACCGGGAATGCATGCAGTGGAATGCATATAACACTATAAGCACTTCAGAAAGGCTATCGCTTTTCCTTTTTGGAAGTTAGAGCTATGTAGACACTGCCGTTTCAGGGTGGGGTCATTTTCAGGACTTTCGTCCCAGATTCAGGTTTTCGCACATATGCCATGTTGATCGCCATGATGGTCATTTTACCCTAAAACAGTTGAGATTACCTGTTCTAAATGAATCGCATACAAACTCATATACAGGTCCTAGACTATAAGCTAAATGCTACAAAACAATGATTTTTTAGTTATTTTTACTTATAAGTCACAACAAATGTCAAGTCTTTATCACTCATCTGCTGGTTTGTTTAACTTAGTTATTCCTCTACGAGCCCCACAGCAGCTACGACAATTTTTGATGAGCAAATCATGAGCTATATTCATGAACTTTTCATGAATTTTCTCATGAACATTAAGTGGCACAGTTCATATGCATGCACTTTATAAGTTCTATTCTGTCACTGTCACATGACTATGTTTAGTTCTGATTGTACAATTACAATGTGTTGTAGCAAATAAAGTTTCTTGCGAAGCCGTATATTTTAACACTTTCTACTTGACAATCAATATTATCTAACAAACCATTTATTCAAGTCCGTTGATTTCTTCATGTATGTACATTCAATACTGTTCCAATCCATCATCTTACAATCTGTAAAAGGAAAACTTTACTAATTGAAAATATAATCATTACACGATCTATGCAAAATAAGCTAGAACAATGGATCCAGAGACTTGCTTCCTAAACTGAGTCACTCCTCAGTCAGTTATAAGGGACTATTAACTCTTGATGTAAAAAACTGTTTTAATATTATGACTTTTTCTCTATTTATAAAGATAATTTCCATAGTTTATTGTCCTAATCCACCAATATAATTACAAAGCATGTTCATATTGGTATAAGGCGATGCAGGGTGTCATATGTCTATGTTAAGCGGACAGTAGGGATTTGCTGGATTGGGATACCAGCGCACTGTTAAAAATTTCTAGTTTTTTACAGGAAATCTGGCTGTAAATTTTTACAGTAAGGGTACTGTATAGTGTTTTTACAGTAAAATTTGTAATTCTACCTGAACAACTACTGTAAATATTGACAGTAAAGATACTGTATAGTTGTTTTATAGTAAAATCTGTGTTTTTACCAAAACAACCACTGTAAATATCCACAGTAAAGATACTGTAAAGTATTTTTACAGTAAAATCTGTGGTTTTACATTAATAAAACAACTAGAAATACATGCATTCGCAAAAGGATGATAACTGTGGAACGTCTGTGACATGAAGGATGACTTTCCACTTTCTATGTTTGCATTTACCCAATTTATCAGGGTGTAAATAGCCAAAGAGAATTAGTAACGCTCGCCCCGAGCAATACAATAATATTAAAAAAGTCAATAAATTGCCAAAACTTGATTGCATCAGATAGCTTGAAATTGGCCCTGGCGAATCAAATTGACTGATTTTTTTCAATGAACTCATGTATTCTCGATATGGTCATGCTGACAGCAGACTCATATTATGCAGACTACAATGCACAGTGCCAGCTTGTTTGTTTAGTTTTAATCATGTGCAACTCGCATGCTCATTAATTAATGCAAATTTATTTTTGAACTTTGAACTTTCAAGGCTGATGCAATTTTAGTATTGCAACACTTCATGGGAGTTTCTTTGTTCTGTAACTTCTGTTCGTATATTTACCGCCATTTTTAGAAGACAACGTTAAAATTTTATCATTTACATTTACGTTGTATACTTCTATCCGACCAATTGTGTCTTCTCAACACGTTAAAACTTCACTTTGTTGGAGTCTTCGTCTTTGGGTAAGTGGCTTATTGTTTGGGCTCAACAATGTTTTACATTATATTTGCATAAATCATAAATATGTATTCATGCAAATCATGTTTGCACAGAACTAGTTCTTTGCGGTCGTATGTTAGGCATTATTCGATGCATTCAAATGAAGCAAATATTACATTTCCGTGTGCTTTTGACACTTGCAAAAGGGCATTTCGCACATACTCAGCCTTTAAATCGCATGTATTTCGTGACCATGTCAATGAGTCAAACAAGCGTAAATTAAGTGTAGGCAAGGCCTCTGGAATACTGCGCTGTCCATTGGGTTTTTGTGGTAGGCATATTGAATACCTGCAAGATCTCATTAAACACTTAAAGGATCACATAATGCAGGGGGATGAAATTATTTGCCCTTTTCAAGGTTGTGGAATGAAATATTCTGTCAAGTCTTCATTTTCGTCACATTTAAGTAGGCATCATAAAGAAACCACTAACAGACAACACTTACCAGATTTGGTAATTGGTGATCAATCCAGTTCAATGTGTAATGAACCTGAAACACCTGACATAACATTAGATAGTAATGCAAATTATTTAAATTTTGATGAGTGATGATAGTGACAGGGAAAGTTAGAGGGAGCTGTTTCTCAAAAACTTAGCCTTGTTTTATTTAAAACGTAGCTCTAAGTACCACATGCCTGCCAGCACCATACAAATGGTTATAGAGGAAATTCAGGCTGTACACAATGTGTCTCAAAACTACTTAAAAACATCTGTAAGCAGAAAATTGAAAGAAAACTCTATTTCTCAAGCTGTTATCAATGAAATAACTGAGGAAATTTTAGGAAATGATTTGTTCAATAATACACATACTGAAAATGGCCCATTGAGTACTGATTATAGGAGAAAAAATATTATAAAGAGCACTTTAACTATGTAGCTCCAGTGGCTATGCGTCTGGGTTTTGATAAGCAAAATAAAGAACAATGCTACCAATATGTTCCCATAATTAAGACAATTGAAGCTCTTTTAAAAGACACCAGTGTAAAAAGGCAGTTTTTCAACCCTCCAGTATCTCAAGATGGTATTTTGCAGGATATTAATTATGGGGATTTGATAAAAGGCAATTTATTTTTTATAAAGTTTCCAAATGCTATAAAAGTTTTACTTGTTCAAGATGCATTTGAAGTTGTAAATCCATTAGGGTCTGCAAAGAAAAAGCACAAAGTTCTTGCAATGTATGCAACCTTAGGTAATATACACCCTGAAAATCGCTCTAAGATTCATCCTATGCAACTTGTTCTGCTTGTAAGAGAAATTGATTTGAAATACTTTGGTCAGAATATTGTTTTCCGAGCACTTGTTGATGATCTTAAAAAGCTTGAAGTAGGTGTCCTTGTAGATGATCAGTATGTTCAGATCTTCCAACTCTCACACATTTTGCGTGAGACACATGCATTTGACATATTTCTCATGCTCACACGCATAAACACTATTTTCTCATGCAAAAGCGAAAAAATAGGAAGCAATCCAACTTTCGTTTTAACGCTTCTTTTTGCAAGCAAATATCCCTATTTAGTTGAATCAATAGCTATAAAATAAAGTATTTTTCGAGCAGTTGCTATGTAACATATAGTATTGTGTAAGTTGCACTATTGTGCAAATTAGTAAATTGACACTTAGTTAATGAGGGATTTCCCCAGACAACGCTTTATGTAAAATATAAACTATAATCTTATTAATTTCGCGTGATGAATTAGCATTATTCACACGTGGGCACTGATAACACATTAAAAGCATAGCTGCTTTTTAGCTGCTACTTATGAATACAACAAAGCACATACGCGCAAGCTATAACTCATTAACATTTACATTTACATTTGGAATGACTTTTACTTTTTAAACAATATTAAGGAAATAAAAAATAAATGAAACTTTAATTGCATGCAGATGTCCAAAAAGTGTTACTTTTGAGATTTTTAATGCCATTTTTGTACCTTTAGAATTCTGTTGATCTTCTCCCAAAATGCAGGAAATGGCACTTCAGAGACTCCAGATTTAAAAATTTTCCAGGGGGTATGCCCCCGAACCCCCTAGGTCAAGGCTATATGACTCAGATTACAGGAAATAACTAAATCTCACTCATTTTCATGCCACAAAGTTGGAAGTGTAGTAACTTAAATACTAGTATAATAGTTCTTCAAGGAAGACAGCCCTTCGCTTAACGTTTTATTCTATACTACGAATATTCTCAGTTTACACAAACATGCTCATGCTAATGTCATGCTAATATCATGCATAATTAATTGTACATTAGTTCCGGTAAGGTTTATGATTGGTTGTTACATTCCTCCTTTTTTCCGATAGTCACTGTAATTTATAAATCTAGTTGTCTTTTTTTTAGAGTCCTAACACTAATCATCTAGAAATAATTATAATTTTTTTTCAGTCAATGTACTAACTGTTTTTTTTTAATTAGTTAATGTTCTACTTTATATAGTCTTTATACTTCCCTTGATACGTGTTCTTCTTTAGTCTTTCCGATCTTCGCAAATTGTTCTCACTTGTTGTGGTTGTTGTCTCACTTGTTGTGGCTGTTGTCTCACTTGTTGTGTCTATAGTCTCACTTGTTGTGTCCCGGATGTTGCTGCTGTCTGTGTCCTGAAATGTCGTCCTGGATGTTGTGGCTTGATAGCTGCTTGGTACTTTTACACTCGCCGATTCATCGTTGGCTTTTGACAATTGAGCTGTTCTAAGTGGTTTAACCTTCGATGCATCTCTGCACTTAACATTTCCATCCTTTACACGTCTCGCATAGATGGTTGATCCTTTTATGCTTGTCACAACGTATATATACGGCTCGTACGGTGTATACTTCTTTCTTTTCTTCTCTCTCTTTATCAAAACGGCATCACCGCACTTGATTGTATGTGTTTTCACTCTGTGACGTTTATCGTGGTACTGCTTACGTTTCTGCTTGTAGGTTTTGTCGTTCTTCTTGACCTCATCTTGGGTGATGTGAACTTCGGTGGGAAAATGTTCCAGTTGTGTTCGAACTTGGCGGTGCATCAAAACCTTGTACTGCGTTGACTTTGTTGCCGGATGGGGTGTCTGTCTGTTTTAACATATCATATATTGCACTCTCGATTTCGATTCCTTCTTCACAGGCAATCTTTGTTGTTTTGACGATCAGCTTGTTGAAATTTTCCACTTGGCCCTGCGCCTTCCGATGTATTGGTGTTACTCGCTTGTGGTGAAATCCCATTTCTTCAGCAAAGGTTTGGAATTGTTCACCATTGAATGGTGGACCGTTATCAGTTTGTAGTATTCGAGGTATTCCATGGGTAGAAAAAATCTTCTTCAATTTCTTTGTCACTGGTATTGTGGATGTAGATGTTACCATCTCCACTTCTGGATATCGTGAATATTGGTCGGTAAGTACCAGTGCATATTTGTGGTTAGGCAGTGGTCCACAAAAATCAGCTTCTACTACATCCCATGGTCGGTTTGGTAACTCTGTCATCTTTGCTGGCTCGGTGTGGTGGTGATCTGTAGCAATCTGGCAGTCGAAACAGGTTTGTACCGTATCTGTTATTCTGGTATTCATTCCAGGAAACCAGTACTTTCTTCGGATCATTTCTTTCGTCTTATTCACTCCGAGATGTCCTTGCTTGTGGGCTGACTGGATGATTCTCTGTCTCAGGGACTGGGGTGGTACAATACGGTCCGTTCGCATGATCACTCCATCCGTGACAAAGAGTTCATCTCTGACTTCGTAATAGGGTTTCAAGAACTGCTTTGCTTCACTCCAATTTCCGGTTTCAATCGTTTCGGTCAGTTCGCACAATTCCTTGTCTTCTGCCGTGGCTTTCTTGATTTTCGACCAGACTATGGCGTGGTCTGCTTGAATCGCTGCGTAAATAGCCGGTCATGTTGCTCTTTCCTGGTATGTGGATAGCTTCAAAATCCAGGTTCTGCATCTTGATTATAATTCTTTCAATTTGTGGTGGAATTTTCGCTTTGGGGTTGTTGAGAAGAGGAAGTAATGGTTTGTGGTCAGTCACTAGCTTAAATTTTGGTGCTCCGAGTAAGTACATCTGCAGTCGAGTTGTGGAAAATCCAGCTGCTAATGCCTCCCTTTCGATTTGAGAACAGCGTTTCTCTGTATCGGTCAGTGTTCGGCTGACGTAATGGACAGGTTGAAATCCATCTGCTGTCTTTTGGAGTAAGGCTCCACCGACGCCCTTTGGACTACCATCGACAATGACTAAGGTTTCTCTTCCTGGTTGATATGGAATGAGAACTGGTGCTGTTGTTAGCGCTGTTTTCAGGTTGTCAAATGCTCTTTGTTGCTCTGGACCCCACTCGAACTTGGTGTTGGCTTTGGTCAGTCTTCTTAGAGGCTCGCATCTACCTGAGAATCGATCAATGTACTGAGAAAGGTATGCAACCATCTGTAAAAATGATAACAATTCTTCTTTGGTGTTGAGTTTCTGGAAGGCGTTGACAGCATGGACCTTGCTGGCACTCGGCTTCAATCCTTCTGCAGTGAATAAGTGGCCATGGAATTCAAGTGTTGACTTTCGGAATTCACATTTCTCTTGTCTTAACATAGGGTTGCAGTCCTTTAGTCGTCCCAGCACTATCTTCAGGTTCTTGTCGTGGTCAGCAAGATCTACACCTCCAATCATAATATCATCATGATTGTTCAGTGTTCTGGGAATACCCGATAGGATCTTTGCCATCTCGCTATCGAATAGGTCTTGACTGTTGACTCCCCCGAACACAAGACGTTTGTATCGGTAATTTCCCCATGGCGTTGAAAATGCCATGGCTTGTCTGGACTGGGGATCGATGACAAACTGGTGGTAGCCATGGTTGAGGTCCAACTTGCTGAATATGCGGCAATCCTTAAACACTGTAATAAAATCTTCTGTAATGGGTGCTTGGACATGGCAAGTTCGTAACATGGATTTATTCAGTGTTCGTAAATCCAAGCTGAGGCGTATATCATTGGGATTCTTTGGTTTAGGTTGTACAACCATAGGAGAACACCATGTTATAGGTTCTTGATCAGGAACTTTCTCCATGATGTCTTGTTCCACAAATTCTTGGAGTTGTTTCTGGAGAGGTTCCATTAGGTGGTATGCAACTCGTCTTGGTTTTTGTGCAACTGGTTCAGCCTCTTCATCCATTGGTAAATGTAGCTGAATCTCCTCTCCATTGCGGGTCGCTCTGCCAATTCCATGAAATAGATCTTGATATGGTTTGAGTGGCTCGTCAACACTGGACTGTGTTTCTTGTAGTTTCGGAATATTGCAAGTACCACTGGGTTTGTTCAGTTCTTTAAGTCGTCCTGTTTCATCAATCTTCACCATGCCCAATTCTTCCAGGGTTGTTCGTCCAGGGAGGTCCAACTTGCTGAATATGCGGCAATCCTTAAACGCTGTAATAAAATCTTCTGTAATGGGTGCTTGGACTTGGCAAGTTCGTAACATGGATTTATTCAGTGTTTGTAAATCCAAGCTGAGGCATATATCATTGGAATTCTTTGGTTTAGGTTGTACAACCATAGGAGAACACCATGTTATAGGTTCTTGATCAGGAACTTTCTCCATGATGTCTTGTTCCACAAATTCTTGGAGTCGTTTCTGGAGAGGTTCCATTAGGTGGTATGCAACTCGTCTTGGTTTTTGTGCAACTGGTTCAGCCTCTTCATCCATTGGTAAATGTAGCTGAATCTCCTCTCCATTGCGGGTCGCTCTGCCAATTCCATGAAATAGATCTTGATATGGTTTGAGTAGCTCATCAACACTGGACTGTGTTTCTTGTAGTTTCCGAATATTGCAAGTACCACTGGGTTTGTACCACATTTTTATTTTCTGGCATTTTCCTGTCTCT